AAAACACAGAATGCACTACTCGCCGGCAGGGGCTCATGAAACAGGCGAGTTTCAATAAATAATCCACCAGATAGTGAAATTGAACAGAATAACATTAGTCCTAAGGCATTATGGACAGGTAGGAAAACATCACAATGAAGGCCATGGGCATATTAGCAAGTAAAGTTACAGTAGATCACAGATCTGATTGGTAATGTACTATCAATTGGGAGATATAATAACTTGCTTATGGTCACCTGGAGAGAAGTGAAAATAAGGAGAGATATGAGAAGAGAAAATCTCCCCCTCCAAACTAACAAAGGGAGCCTACAATAAGCAACCAAGAAAGAAAAAGGGTGGCATGATAAATAGCATATATAGTCAAAGAAACCAGAAACCACACAGTCCAAGGGCCTCTTCTCCACAGCCTTAGCCAGGTGGTAGTGGGGGTGCGGGGGTGACTTATCAGAATCTGGAAACTCCCTTTAACAAACCCAGATCCTGCCCCCCCACCCTTCCCAAGTAAATGAGTATGGAGTACTTATTCACAAAAAATATCAAGTGTAAATGAACACACATCTCAGTTTCTGACATGTACAAAATGTCTCCTGATACAGATCCATCATTAATCACATTGTCCAGAGATGTAGGTCTATACTGATCATGTAGAATGACTCGAGCAGGATAAAAAAAAAATGCCTGCCGAACTTCACCGATCCTGTTGCTTGCCAGCTCCGAATGACATTGCCGATTCTCCTGACCGCTAAAGTAAACAAATGGTCAACGACGAATGTCATGAGGGGCAGTGACATCGGGTGACCCCACCCCTTTATTTTAGTGGCGGGAGAAGCAGAGCAGTCATTCGTCCCCACTGCTGAAGTAGACAAAAGGTATGTATCTCCAATGACCCGTCCCCTTATGACACCATTGACTGTATATGACATCACTACGGGTAGGGTTACCCAGTGATGTAACTGGGTGACCCCACCCCTTTGCATACTTTAGCACCGGGAAAAGCAGAGCTGTCATTCAGCCCCATTGCCAAAGTAAACAAAGGAGCATGTCATCAGGTGACCCCCTCAACCCGAAGGGCCTGGTATGGATGAGAGGGTGGAGATCTCATGTCATTTCCCCCCCCCCATGTTTGGCTCTTTTGTTTACACTCTGTTGTCAGTGAAGAATCCTCCCCCACTGACGGCAGGGATGTGTCACGTTTGTTAGGATACCGGCAGATGCCGACTCCTAATGACCAATGCAAAAATGGACTGTTAAATATCTATAAATAGCATATCTCAAGCCAACCCTGTGCCATAAATTAACATTCCTGTACTGGCATACAGGCACCAAAAATCTGGGGCTATTTTGACCTTTCTTAGGCCTTTTTTGTGACTCTCTTTTGCTTATATGAATAATTAAATACCAGAACTGACTAACCATGAAACAGTTCTACATCTGTACTCAAACATTATCATTACAGCAAAGTGACAACTACATCCCTGGCAAGTTTAGTAGAAAAAAAAGGTGATAATATGCCATTCTCTTTCTCCAAATTGTGGTCTTTCACACTGCAGTTTTCTAATTACCAGATGTTTCTCTGCTGGCAGCACTTCCAATAATGAGGCACTCTCTTTGTGGATATGAGTTTCTTATTTGGTAAAATGGTATCTTCTGCTTGTAACATGTACAACTCTCCAATAACATATACAACCATCTGATGGATAAATAGTTTACACTGCAAGATTTTTTTTTTTCCACAAGTCACTGGACAGTCCATATAACCTTCGCTTGAAGGTGCATTGGTTGTGTGCTCAATTCAAACAAAAACAGTGCATACTATTGCTGTTGCTTTATGAGCTGAAGTTATATTTATAATAATGGCATGTCTGCATGTTCAGTAGAAGCGGTTGACATAACTAGGGCACAGTAGAACTTGGATCTGAATGTTTCATATTTTAATAACGGAATAGCATGAATGATCATCAGTTCAACTTTGTGTCTGTAGGTTACTGGTTCATTTTATGCACAGCCTCCTTTCGGACCTAACAATTATAGTACTGATCATGACATACAATAGTTCTAAAGGACAATCATGTACTCCCATCACTTATCCACAAAATTAAAAAAACAATTAAGATACATGTTATGCTACCAGGTGACTTTCTTGCAGATGTTGTGTGTTGTCATATGTATGTGTATGTATGCATTTGATTGCCACTAAACCTTCAATGATATATGAGGCTTTTTATTTGGTTACTTTTTAATGCATTAAGTAGTGTACCTTGACTGAAAAACATATTGGTTTCGAGAAGTACAAGTGATTGTTCCAATCTTGGAGAGTTTTAGTGAACTGTAGAACAAGGTCCATACATCCGGTCACTGGCAAAATGTTTCCTGTGCATAGGGCATAAATTTACATATTGAAAGTGTCTAGAGATGTATTTAGTTCTTTGATCATAAGTGGCAGGACCATGAGCGAGGTGTCACCAATCCCCAGAATGTTTTCTGCAGGAAGAAAAACCAAGCATAACTTGATTTGTCCAAATTATTTGCATTAAAGTGACAATATCATTATTCTATAAAAAATAACCTATACACATCCACAATTAATGGCCCTGTACCCTATTTTTCATACAATTCTGTCTGTTCTTCTGCCTCCTTGTAATACCCTCTTGGAACTCCCAAACCTCTTCTCCCCCCCTTCCCACTTCTGTTTGTTTGGAACAAGCAGTGTGTGTTAGTTGGAGTCATGTACACTGCTCTATGCACACTACAAATCCCACAGTCCATAGTGCCTATACCATCTCAAGAGTGAGCAATAGAGGGTGGCTATGTTCCTACAGACAGTAGAATCATGGAGAACAAACATAGCCACTTTCTAACAGGAAGTTGGATCATGGCACAAAAAAAATGATTTGAAAGAGGGTGGAAAGAAGAAGATAGGTAAATACCTCTGGCAGAACTATTGTGTTCTACCGACAGGGAGCCTTACCTGCTAGCAGATATAGCTGCCAGTAGTATTCACATATGAGAAATTTGACAGGCTGGTTGTATTGAAGTCGATCAATGGATAAACTTCAGTACAACCAGCATTGCCATAGATGGATTGAATCTCGACTTCTCCCTGCTGAAGCGGATGAGATTCAATTAATCTATGGCGGGCTTTAGGCATTCTTGCAAAGTTAATATGTACATCCAGTTTCTTGAACTGTCACTTTGAGTTTTTATAAAAAAACAATTTCTATGAACGGTGTTATACAATGTGTAAAAGGATGTGCATATTAGTACTATATAAATATGAGAAATTCATAATAATCTAATGGACATGAAGCCTATAAGACCAGGTACAGACTTCTCTTTGTCTGGCCACAGATTAGAGCTGGCCATAAACGGCTATAAATTGGTCCAGTTCCTACTTTCTCAGCCAAAATTTAAAAGAGTGTATGTTGTTGCCAATACGGCTCCATTCAACAAAAGTTTATTGTGCAGTCAATTTTGTTGAGGGATTCTGTTGGAAAATTGTTAACTGAACAACACCTGCATCTAATCAAATGGAAACACCCCTGGGGTATTTTGACAGCCAGCAGCTCCGGCTGTCAGAATACAATAGCCTGGCAGAGAAAATTGTTTGTCCACACATTTAGCATTTAGTGAGGAATCTGTTAAGCTTTGAACTAAAAAAAAGAGAATTTTGTTCAAAATGTTTCATTTTAAGAATGTTCATTTGACTTTCTATTGTTTAATGGGGTCAAATCGAATTTTCTCATCACTGTGGTCAAAAACATATTCTAAGCAGCAGGATGGAAATTTTTTTCTTGAACAAATTTCTAATAGTGTATGTAGTTTTTATTCAATATATCCATTAGGTCCAAAATCAAATGTTAAAAGCAAAACATTTTTAACTACTTTAGAAAGACATTCATCAACTGTTGAATTGTCCAAGAGTTGAAGAGTCCAAGTTTTGCCAAGCCAACTAAGCAGTATGATCCCTCCAGCACAGTACAGCTTTGAAATTGGAAGTGCTTGAACAGATTCAGCTAGAGATCTTTCTGAATTCATCCAATCAAGAAGCCCAACCCTCATTAAAAGAGAAGTATTGCCAAAGTGTTTTGGCCATACTTTTATGCTTAACAGGAGTGCACTTACGTTTGTTCTCCTGGGACCCAGGATCAGTCAGCTGACAGCGCAGAGCCTCTCCAGCTTCTGAATGGATTGCAACTGTATTGTCAGGATCCCCCCAGCTGCCTGATTGACAGTTTGCTCTGGATGCATGTAGCAGAGAGCTAAAGCCACCTGTTCCCAACTCTTCTCCAGCCCCACACTCCAGTACGTTGAGCTGACAGTCATTGCTCTTTGCTCTAAGCAGACCAAGAACTGAGCGATCAGAGGTCATGCTATTGCTCAGTTCTTGGGATTAGAGTAGGCAGGGGACAGCTGCAGCATCAGAAAAATGCTGCAGCATGGGGATGAGTATGTATACATGTTTTTTAATATATATAATCAGAAATTATACAGAAAACAGTGGTTGATCTAATCTACAACATGTTTTCCAGCTTGATTTGTATTCTTCCTCCCCAACACACGTTTTTATTCACCTCGTTTCACTCTTGAATTTAACAATAAAAACAGTTTGCCTTTTTCCTTTTTAAGACAGATCAGGGTTTTGTGCCTAATACCAGATAACAATATCTGCATATGATCAAACCAGATAATACCAAAAATTAGTTTATATTATAGGGTAAATAACCATCAAGGTTGCAATACCCTGAACTATAATTAGAAATGAATACTGTGAATGATTTATAGCTGCTTTGTTTTATTATCTCACATAATAGATACTATTCTGAAAAACACACAAAATTGCTTAAACGATCAATGGTCAATGTACCTCTGGGAGTGGACAATGGATCTGTGCATACCATTCCAGAGAGTATAGACAAATCTGGACACCCTGACCAATGAACAGGAAGGTCCATACCATTACATTGAACACTGGACTTTTTCGTTTATCATTGATTGCAAAATTAAACAGGACTAAAAAACACAAGAATATATAGAGAGAGATTAGTTATTCACAGTACACATATTTCTATACATGACATACTGCAAAAGTAAAACATTTCTAGTCTGCTACAATAACCATAGTCTCTATCAAGATTTTTCAACAAAGTGCAGTAACCTATGGTAACTGATCAAAATTTAGAGATCTGAATTTAGTCATCTAAACTCTGGTTACTATGGGCTATTTCCCTTTAGTTTTGCCACTATCACTGAATATGCTTACAAAGTTTTTTTTTTTTTTTTAAAAAGCAAGCTGTAATATTAAAGTACGTAGAAATCGCCTTAGACCAGACTATTTAAAGTGGTTGTAAACCCTTACAGTGCCTTAAAAAGTATTCATACCCCTTGAAATGTTCCACATTTTCTCATGTTACAACCAAAAATGTAAATGTATTTTACTGGGATTTTATGTGATAGACCAACAAAAAGTGGCACATAACTGTGAAGTGGAAGGAAACAAAAAATTTGGAAAACCATTTATCATTTTCCTTTCACTTTACAATTATGTGCCTCATTGTTTTGCTCTATCATATAAAATCCATTTACATTTTTGGTTGTATCATAACAAAATGTGGAAAATTTCACGGGGTATGAATACTTTTTCAAAGCACTGTACATATACTTAGTAAGGGACTATCCTCAGGTGATACACGGTGATGAAACAAATCCTCCTACATACAGTAAGTTGCGCCGGTTTAACTGCGTCTTCTCTTCTCTACAGCTGTCCAAAGTGCTGAATTTAAAAATTTGTCAGAGTTGACTAAAAAGGGGACAGAGAGCTGAAATTACACTCTGCAGAGCTCAGTAAGGAGAGTTCTGAGAGCTGATTGGAAGGAAGAGACACACCCCTCTCCACACTGCTCACAGGAACAGAGCTGAGGCTGTCAATCTACTGGAGCTCCCTCCCCCTATTTTTCTCTTGGTGTCAGGGAAAACTTGTCAGATGTGATTCATGTCGACAGCAGAGGAATGAGGCAGCAGACAGAAATGACACTTAGTGTTTTTAATTGAGACATGTACACACTATAGAGGGATATGCTTGTTCATATTTCATGTCTGAGCTTTACAACCACTTTAAGTTTCTCTAAACATTCATGGTTTGCATTGGAGAAGAATGGTCCTTCCTTTACATTATGCCAGGAACTTTCCTTACTTTAAGCTGGCTGCAGAGTGAAATATACACAGCCCAAGATATAGAATGCGGAAATCATTAAACAGCTTGCAGCAATGTCCATTTCTGGTCATTTATAGGCATGCACTTGTTCCACCATGTTTGGTGGCTTCTAATAAAACTTACTTCGAGAACAGTCACTGGAACCTTTCAGAAGCAGAGTCAGAGGAAGGAACCTGCAGGATTTCCAGAATGCAACATAACCCATACATTAGCCTAAAACCCACATTCCTGCCATTTGACACCAACATTACTAGTAATAAAAGTTAAAGTAAAATGACCTCCATCTGTACCTCCAATTATTGCAAAGAGGCAAAAACATAACCGGGTAAAAATAACCAAGTGACACTGTCATGGCATATTCATGCACAGAAGCGGACAGGAGAAACACAGCCAGCAACGCGCCTGACCGAAACTTTCTATTCAGCAGCTGAAAGCAAAACGAAAAAGAAAAATCACTTGTTTCAAAGATGAAACTTATTTTTATACGTTGTCTATTTTTGTTGTCTCTACTAGGCCCTTACCCACAGAAGCTCTTGGTACACATAATAAAAGAGCCAGTCATGGATCACCACATTCCATGTCCGGTAATAGTTTGAGAACGAAGTGGAGTTCCACCAATCCTGTATAAAAAACAACAATAATAAAAAGTGGTTTAAGACTGGTGAAAAGAAAATACTTGTATTGCCCAATAAATCAGATTCTGTCATTTGTAAAGTACAGGTTAAAGTGAAACAACAAACAAAAAAATTCACAGTTAAATTTGATATCGGTTATTCATTTTCCCAAAAATATGTAATTCTGCTCAGCTGTCCTTGTAAGTCACAAACACTTATTCTAATGAAATAGCAGATCAATCTACCATTTCTTAATTCAGCTTAACCTCCCTAGCGGTCTGATTATTTCAGATTTTTGGTGCTGAAAGCGGGGGGTACCATTATTTTGCATGGAAATATGTAGGTTTTTTTATTGTAGGCTGTAATTTTTAGGAATAACTCACTGAAATCTGTCCGAACAAGAGTCTAGTAAACATCCCGGGTATGATAAAATTCGAAACACAAAATCATAAATTATAATTTAATAAATAATCATAAAAAATAATAATATAATAATACATTTAACTCAATAATATAATCAAACCAAAAACACTGAAATTTGAAATAGAGCGCCAAGTTCGCACATTGCTGAGCAAAGTCGCAAAATCATTTTCAGTGTCTGATGACGAATTTCCCCACGAATCATTATCACTCAATTCTGCAAGTGGTTCTGATTTACTATCGCTGTTCTCTAGCTGATCTAAACCCACTTTTGACCTAAAGGGACACTTTTTGGACGCCATAGACTTTTCTCAGTTTCCAGGCAGAAAGAACAGACAAAATGCAGGCAGGGCACAGGACAAAGCACTAGGGACAAAATGTATGTGAAATGGGTTGAAACAGCAATGTTTTGCTATGAAAAATGTTTTTTTTTGAAAAAAAATGACTTTTTTAAATTTTCAAATTTCCCGCTGCCGGCAGCGCCCGTACGTCCCAACATCACAGGGACTGGAACACAGAAGCTGGATGCCAGCATCGGCCGGAAGAGATGGCCGGGGACGCTGCAGGGGACACATCGCGGGAGCGAAGGACAAGGTAAGCTCTGCAGGGAGTCCCTATGCAGCGCCGCATGGTAAGCCCGAGTGTAGCTCGGGGTTACCGCTTTTGGCACTGACATTTTTACCCCGAGCTACACTCGGGAATACCGCTATGGAGGTTAAAGTGTTACTAAACCCAGGGCCCTGCATTCACTATATCTGGTCTCCCCACAGTACACAGAACATGGAAATGCAATTATTTTAGTAAATACAAGCTGCTAAATTCATTTTCTCATCAGCAGTATATAGAAGTCTTGTGAATTCTATCAGTGTCCCACTGAGAACTTGCTAAAGCTTCTAGGAGGAGATTTCATTCACCTCTGATTGTCCTATGAGGCTGCATGACACCTGACCCTCTGTCTGGACAGTGCTGATTGGCCTTGTGCCGATCACAAGCACTCTCCCCCCAAAGAAATTCTCTAGCAATATACAAAACTGAGCATGTGCAGAGTGCCTCCTAGGGGTCTGTATTATCAGCAGATGTATTGGGGGCTGTGGAAGAAGGGGAGAATCAGAGAAGATGAGATCAAACAGCCTTTTTACACAGTGCAAAGGATTTACCCCTTATGCTCTACAATGCGTATAACAAGCATGCTTTAATGCATATACAGACTGATTTTACTGTTGTGGGTTTAGTAATACTTTAAGCTGGTCATACACATACAATTTTTTCTGTTTATCTAACAGTTTCCTCCATCACGCTATACAGCATGGATGGGCAGATCTCTACTGCAGCTATTGTATTTTGGACAGCCAGTCTCATCAAAATACCCAAACAGTGGATGGATCTGATTGGATGCAGATTTGTTTGCTCAAAACTTTTCTGCCCTCCTCCTTCAGTTTTTAGTTGAGGGATGTCAAGCAGAGGAGGTGGTGTTGTTTGTCGCACTGGGACAGGTGACAGGGTCTGGCTTCATTTTTTATTGTCCGTACACTGAGGCAGTGATCAGGGACACAGGGACACTGTGGCTGGTTGGCTTCTCTCTCCTCTCTGAACAGCAGGACTTGGCTGATAAGCAGAGTGCCTAGGACTACATTTCCCAGAAGAAGTAGCATGTGGGCGGGGTCATATAAAAAGCAAGGCTCGGGAGATGGGTGAGGATTGTGCGGTGGGAGTTTTGAAGGAGGTGTGGAGAGAGAAAGAGAAAAATGAGAGAGAGGGGGAGAGGAGAGAAGGGGGGAAAGAGAGAGAGAGAGAGGAGAGAGAGAGAGAGAGGGAGAGAGAGAGAGAGAGAGAGAGAGAAAAGAGAGAGAAAAGAGAGAGAGAGAGAGAGAGAGAGAGAGAGAGAGAAGAGAGAGAGAGAGAAGAGAGAGAGAAGAGAGAGAGAAGAGAGAGAGAGAGAGAGAGAGAGACTTACGTCCTGCCCAGCCTGCAATGCTGCCAAGCAGGCCACTCTGACATCAGGAGACAGAGTAGAACGCAAAGTCTGAACCAGATTGTCTCCATCCATTTACTGCATCAAGCTCAATTAGTGATTAGAGCTCTTAAAAGAGAACCTTACACTATTTCTTTACCATCAATCAGGGAATCAGTGTTAAATCTTCTACTTTTTCCTCACTATATTTGATGTGACCACCCTAAGGAACTACCAATGTACCCTTTGACGCAACTCCACATCAACTGGGCCCAAACAGGCGTGCAGAAGACAATTATAGAGCTCTGAAAGGGAACACTACCAATTATAGCTGAGAATTCTCTTTATTTCACATTTAATCCTTGTTATCTGGTTCTGAGGATCCACAGTGAGCTTACCCGTTATTGATAGTCATTCCTTGCTCACTGGGCATTTATAGTCCCCTCAGACTGGAGGCAGTAGATTATTTCTGGAAGCAGGCCTGCTAATGGATACTGCTGTTTTATTGTCACTTTTGTTGAATGCTGTCACTTTTGCTCACAGTTGCCATGAGTGATCAGATATGCTGCCAATACCAGTGTTTTGTTATTCTTGGCTCAGTTACCTCCAAATCCAATATAAACTTAATTTTGGTTTACTGTATACTACTCTTTGTGTGAGTCCAATTTACAGGTTTGATTTATCTGGGTCACCAGGGCATGGTAGTGACAGCAGAGGTTGGGATTTCAACAAGAGGTCCAGATTGACAGGGAACCCAAAAATCACTAAGCAACCCTTAAGGGGGTAGTGCTACACAAATATCTAAATACAAGAATCATGTGTATAAGATGGATCTTGATCTTGTGTGTTTCTTTCAGATATTTACAGTATTTCAGCATGAAACAACTCCTGTATCTCCTACTACTTGTAATAAAGACTGGTCACTTCTGCACTTTTTGTGCAGGGTAACTGGTCTTTAGTCAGCACCTTCCTTTAGTTTTCCGCAGACAACCTTTAGTGGGTGGACCCTCTGGGTCCCTCTAACAGCTCTGCTCTCTGCACCAGCTAGAAGATATAAAGCTAACTGAGGATGTCACCACTATTTTCACAAGGTAATAATTGCAAAAGTATTTATTGCACACAAAGGAAATGTATATTCTTTGTGATCAGGAATATGCACCAATCGGTTATAACATTAACATATGTTAGGCAGCAAGTGAACATGGTGTCCCTGAAGTTGTTGTATTGAAAGCAGAAGAAATGGGCAAGTGTAAGGATTTGAGCAACTTTGGCAAGGGCCAGGTTGTAATAGCTAGATGCCTGGGCAAGATCAACTCCAAAATGGTAGTATGTGTGTTTGTATGTGAGTAGGTGGGTGTGGTTGTATGCGTGTATGTATGGGTGCATGGGTTTGTGTGGTCCTTTTTGGACCATAGGGTTTCATATATATATTACATAATCTCTCTTTTTACATTTATGACAGTGGGGATGGTGGCCTTCTTTGTTTTTTCCCCATCAGCATCTAGGGTCCACATGACTCCTTGTGGGTTCCTTGTTGGGTATTCTGGTCCGTTTTGGCACTCCATGGTCCAGAGGGAGTGTATGTGGATTTTAAGTAAATAGGAAAATAATTTTGAGAGTTATTGTATTTACAGTTTTGCTATGATGTATAATTTTGTTTTTGTGATGCTTACAGTATACTACATATATCTTATTTTAGATGATATCCGGCTATGCCCCCTGAAAAAGATCTAGACTTTTTTTGATTGAAACACGTTGGGGCTTTCATCTGGATACTGTATGAGAACTATTTGCAAATTTATGATCAACAATATTTTATAAAAACTGATGTATACTGTACAGGCAATATATCATTCTTGAACCACATATTTCAGGGTATCCAATGTTGATATATATATATATATATATATATATTTTTTTTTTTTTTTTTAAGATGTTTAATGTTTGATTGCTGCCTTTAAGTTTCAAGGGTCATTGGTAGTGTGTTTTATTTTTAGCTCAGGGATGTGGCAGCTTTATGCTCTTTCAGGGGGATCTTTCTTTTGTTTTTTTTGTCATAGAAGAGGTACTGTAGTTCAAATTGCAAAAAACAGTTAATGCTGGTTCTGATATAAATGTGTTAGAAAACACAGTGCATCGCAGTTTGGGGCCATGTGGTCGCAGACCGGTAGGGGTGCCTATGCTGACCTGTGTCTAGAGCCAAAAGCACCTACAATGGGTAAGTGAGCATTAGAACTGGACCACCGAGCAATGGAAAAAAGTGTCTTGGTGATGAATAAGGGTTCTTTCACACCATGTGGATGGCTGGGTGCATGTTTGTTACTTACCTGGGGGAAGAGATGGCATCAGGATGGGAAGAAGGCAAGACAGTGGAGGTAATGTCTTGTTTTGGTGGGCAATGTTCTGCTAGGAAACCTTGAGTCCTGCCATTGATGTGGATTTTACTTTGGAGTGCATGATCTTACAGCTCAGGGCTGTTTTGGAAGCAAAGGGTGACCTACTCAGCATTAGGTAGATGGTTATAATTTTATGGTGGCTGATCATAATGTTATGGCAGATCAGTGTATGTAAATAACATTTTTTGCACCTGGAGTTTAGCTATAAAATTCTAAAGCAGTAATGTACTACTACCCAACAAGCGCTACATATGTGGAAAAATATCTAAAACATGGGGGAAAAAAAAAAAAAAAAAAACACACATCCCCCAAAAAACGGCCACCACCCTGTAATCATAAATGATACTGTACAATATAATTGAAGCAATCTTCCACAAACATAAAGTTAGAAAATGTATTCAAGAATATAACATAACCCACATAAGATGGATAGTCTATGGGAGGGTATGCGTCAAGTAATCATTTTTTTAAGAAAAACCATTTGTGACCACTCTACAAATTCTGATGCAAAAAAGAATGAATCGATACTAAGTAATCAAAGATTTCCTAAAAAGGATATACTGTAATTTCTCATATAATCAAGATATCAGGCTCAAAGAGTAACTCCACTTTGGTTGAGAAAAAAGCATTCCCCTCTAGGTGATATATGTACACTGCAAGAATTTTAACAAACGTTGTTTCAGTTTCCTACCTTTTGTTATTCTGAAGAAATAGGTGTTTGCTTGTATGTGTCTATGTGCAATGTGAAGGAGAATGAGAGTGGTTTTATAATTATCAATCAGCTGCTGCACCTGCAGGGATCTAATAAGGAAAAATTCAGGGTCTGCATCTATTTAGATGTGATTTCCCTTTTGGCAGTATCTCACCAAAAATGACATTTTTGTTGCAGGGGATGTCAAAATTTAGATTTCTGCAAAAATCAGTAATCCAATCACACAAGCAGGAAATTATATTTTCAGGGGGCATTATGTACACTATTTGTATACCACTGGGTGGCCAGATTGTCAAAAATACATCACTGCATGACTTGAGGTGCAATTGTAAATGTTGTATTTTTTTTTGGTTAATTTTTTTCCCATGAAAAGTGGAGTTACCATTTAAAGCTCCATGCTTGCTATTTCAGCCCCCCTCCCCCTGTCATTCAGTATAAATATATTTTTCTAAATTTGGGATATATCCAGTGTCCTGGACAACTGGGAGATTTTGAAATGATTCACTCAAAAATAATTCTTCTATTAGATTTCTCCTAGACACCTGTAACTGTAAGAAATTTGTACTAGGAGATGTGGGGTTTAAGAACATTACACCAATAAAATGAAAACGAATTGTGGTCATCACTTTGTGCAGTGATGTCAACCTCCTAGCCAGGGGCGGACTGACAACTCATGGGGCCCCCGGGCAATAGGGGATCATGGGGCCCCTGTGTCCTTGCCCAAACTCAAAAAAGCCTATGAAAAAGGTACCAGGGGCATCTCATGGGGCCCCCTACGGACCCCGGGCCCTCGGGCAGAGCCCGAGTTTCCAAATGGTCAGTCCACCCCTGCTCCTAGCTATGTGGTGTAGCATAAGCATTTTAAACCCTAGAGTGACCATCATCTTGACATTTATTTATATTTTTGGCCAGGCATTACCAAATACAGTATAGATTTCAGCTGTGCACTTGACTGTCCTAAGTTCCACTCTAAGTTAGCCATAATCATACAGATATTGCTCCTATTTTTTTGCAGAAAGCTAAAAACTCATTTGAAGTTTTTTTTTCTTTTACCCATATACTACTTAATTAAATTAAGCAAAAACCACATATTAGACTTGATTACAGAATACATGGTGAAAAATGTCACCTTGTAAAACATGCGATCTGCAAAGCGGAGCATCTCTGCGAAAGCATTCAGCCAGCAGTGCAAAAGGCCGTAGAATGACAGCAGCAGCACCAAGATACCTGTAAAAACACAACAATTATCCATATATTATAGAGGAGAGTGATATAAAATCTTATCTTTGAAACAAAAAAAAAAAAAAACACAAACAGACGGAAATGAGGTAATTAAAATTCTTCCAACTTTAGTATCTACCCGATTCAAGGCATTAAACAATTGGAAAGGAGCAAAGGTCTCACCTGGCAGTGTAGCTTGGAAGATGGATAACACCAAAGTCTTTACACTGAATGGCTGTTTGCTCATGTTGGTGAACACTGGAATACACAGGGTGGCCATGACATAGCAGATGAAATACATGCAGCCTAGGAACTATGAACATTAAAAAAATATTATTAGATAAATACATAGCCAACTTTATCATTGTACATAATAAGAACAATATTACACAAGTTCGTAACATTTTTGAATTTCTTGAAACTGTTCCATTGCTAGAAGCTTTGGAGCAGGGATTTCTTGATAGGCTTATAAGACAATTCCAATTAAAAATGTGATTTCAGTTTTCGGGTAGATGGTGTTTCAGTAGCCTCTTGGCTTTGCAAAATCATATATAACATCCAGCAGAGGTCGGGGAATGACAGTTTTTTGCATGAAAACTAGATAGAGCTTTATAGCACCTGTGGGTGCTTTGGGGGGGGGGGGGGGGGGGGGGGGGGGGGGGGGGGGGGGGGGGGGGGGGGGAGTACTTCTCCGAGATTCCCAAGATGTTAAATTTTGCCCATTTGTTTTTTTTTTCAATGGGCCCCTGCAGGTTTATGCCATAATGTGCTAGTATGCACTACATACTAACACATTTTGACAGACTAACCTTGTAAATGGAGGCCTCCAGCATTGAGCTGTCACTGCTTCTGGAGCTTCCATCTTTGCCCGGCCTTCCTTATATGTTCACCCTCTCCAACTGCTTGTATGACTGGGTCATGAGGACGTCACTCTTGTGCATGTGCATGGGAGTCATGTTCATGGCATGACACACTATGCAGTCACGGCATGCGCAGCGAGCTACTGCACATGCACCAGTGATGTCATCAGCCTCAGCCAATGTGAAGATCTTTTAAATGCCACAATAAACATGCATGGTTCCACCTTTTGTAAAAAAAAAATAAAAAATAAATGCAGATCTTTTTGCAAGCAAAAGAAATGTCAGGTTATTATTTTTTTACATTGTTGGAGCATTGGATCCTGCAGACTCTCAGTAAGCTGTACTTCTGATAGGGGCAGGCAGTTACTGAATGGCAGAAAGAATTGGTGAACCACGAGAGCACTCACAGTGCCCTTGCAGTTTGTTGACTACTTGCCAACTGCAATGGCTGATGGTACTTGTAGTCTAATTCATTCACAGGAAACAGTTTTTAAATTGTGACAGGGGGTGTGGGGAGAAGATCCCCGTCCACTGTTACAAAGCAGGGAGTGCTGGCAGTGGGAGGTGGCTGCATAGGAGCAGGTTACATTTTACACCCTGAATATGGGTTTAACATGTAACATGCTCCTAAAGGTGAACTTCTCCTTTAATATTAGGAGTTAACCGCTACAGGGCGGCATGGGTGCACAAAATCTTGTATATATATCGCCCCTCATGTTAACCCCTTCCTGCCCAGTGCCATTAGTACAGTGTCAGTGATTTTTTTTTAGCACTGATCACTGTATTGGTGTCACTGGGGATGTCAGTGACACCAAGTCATTTCCCCCCAGTGTCAGAATGTCCACCGCAGTCCCACTATAAGTCACTGATCACCGCCATTACTAGTAAAAATTAAAAACAAATTCCAGTGTGTGTATATATATATATATATATATATATATATATAATATATATATATCGCCATTTGTAAACGCTATAACTTTCACATAAACCAATTAAACCAATTAATTTACACGTATTGAGATGAGATTTTTTTTTTTTGTTAGCAAAGACATGTAGCAGAATACATTTTGGCCTAAATTTATGATGAAATTAAATTTTTTTTTTATTTTTTTACTGGACATGTTTAATAGCAAAAAGTTAAAAATATTGTTTTTTCTCAAAATTGTTGGCCTTTTTTATTTTATAGTACAAAAAATAAAAAAAACACACAAGCAATCAAATACCACCAAAAGAAATCTCAATTTGTGAGGAAAAAAAGGACGTAAATTTGATGTGGGTGCAGCGTTGCATGACTGCGCAATTGTTAGTTAAAGTAACGCAAAAAATGGCCTGGTCAGGAAGGGAGGTAAATACTCAGTAAGGCAAGTGGTTAAGGGCCTAATTTTGTTTGCACCAGTACAGAAGGAGGTCAAATACACCTGCAGTGAATTCTGCATCATCTGAGGTGCACTCTATAAAAGTGCACCTGTGCCCACACTATGGGCATTAACGCATTTACCTATTCCTAACAAACATCAAAACAACTTTAAAACAATCAATCAATCTCTGACCTATCTAGCTGCTTTTACCCTGGATTCATTTATTCTCAAAGATTGTGACAAAGACTTTAGGGCCTGTTCACACCAAATGCTGCTCTGGCAGCTATTTTCAGTGCATCCCCAATGCATAGACAAGGCAATATACCTTGCTTTCTAGGTATTTGTTCACAACACAGTGAGCACAGGGGGTTGCAATGAACCACATCACTGCAATGGTGAATAGAACCCTACTGAAATGTCTCCCGTGATATTTAAGTAAGGTTCTATGAAAAAAGATAAACAATGTGATATGCTGGGATTGGTGCATCAGAACTGTGTCTCACCAGCGGCTGTGCATTCAGTGTGGCTGAACCATAAGTTGGCCAAAAAGCTTAAAAACACATGCTGTTGGTTTACATTAGAGGGCTTATAGACTGCCCAGATTCTGCTTTCTATAAAAAATAACTGGGATTTCAGTGCCTCTGTTGTGACAATTAAAGACAAACTTCTCCACAATGCCTATAACTACAGAGGCAAATGAGGGCTTGCTTGAAAATGCTTTTACTGCGTGTCTCTGAATATGTAAATACTTTATTGTGCATAGTTGACGCACAGGTCACATTATCTGGAAAAATAAAGAAATATACAAAGTGAAAGAAATATACATTGGCAATATACACATATCTGGGGAAGGAGGAAGGAGTAGTGTTAGGTGTACTATCAAATCTAGATTGACTTGATAAACAAATTAAAGCTGAACTCCTGACAACACTTTTTAAGCAGTTGCAGCAACTGTTTTTATGCCTTGTTATGATAAAGGTTTTACATAAATAAAAGCTGAACATTGTAAAAGTTGATAAATGGGCCCCTCCCTCCACATGGTTTATTGCAGGCAAACATACTGTGGGCTACTGTGCAGTGTTAACTCTGCCAGTGATTGTGACCTTTGTGTATTATGTATACAAAAGGATTCATAGGGGATGCTACAGAAACAGAAAACGAAGGTGTACTTTGTGGTATAAAAAATACTAGTATTAGGGCTTGTTCACGTGCAGTGCCCTCTGAAGAGTGATCCATGTTGGATCACCTTTCAGGAGGGCAGTTGACAGGTATTGAGGAGCTGAAATGTCACCTCCTCATTGCCTGATTTAACCCTATGAATGGCATACTACCACACTGCAATTGTGTGACTTGTATGTGGTTGCAGCACGACCCCATATTAGCTGCATTTGGTGGCAGCAACAACACCTACTGAAAGCAAAATGCTGTATAACTCTTGCCACAACTGTATCACAACCACAGCATGTGTACAGCCATGAGCAACTGCATGTCAGTTTTCAGGTGGGTAGTCAGGGGGCAGTAAAACCATGACTCAACCACCCGGTTTTACCACCCTCTGACCACTTGTGTGAATAAGGCCTTATTTTATTTTGTTTGAAATACTTTCATAACTGACTTTTAGTGATTGTAAACATAGCTCCCAACTGTCCCTTATTTGGAACCAAATCCTCATTTCCTCCTCGGTTGTCTCTGTTGTTGGTCTGATGTATAGACCTTGATAAAACAAAATATTTCTCAATTATCAAAAGCATTATAATACACCAAAGGCTGAAACACACCTATGCAATCAGGTACATTGAGGTTAACTTGTCTGTTACTGCAGTACACTTTAACACCATTCATTTTGGATGATGCCACAACAAGCGAAGGCAACATAGCTCTGCAGTCCACCGCAACCCACAGTAGCATACCACCATGTGATGTGGCACATTGTGTTGGAAAAAATACGGCATGTCCATACCTGTACGTTGGCAGCCTATTCAAAATGATTGGGCTGCCTTAATGCAACACATGCTAATGCACAACCAGGGGCGGACTGACCATTCGGAAGCTCGGGCACTTCCCGAGGGCTCGGGGTCAGTAAGGGGCCCCATGAGATGCCCCTGGTACCTTTCGTAGGCTTTTTTTGGGTTTGGTTTGAGTGTGGGCGAGGACACAGGGGCCCCATGATCCCCTGTTGCCCGGGGACCCCATGAATTGTCAGTCCGCCCCTGTGCACAACACAACATGTGTAATGCACAGGAACTGAGAGGTGTGAATGCGTCCTAAACCTTTCATCCAACTTCTATATTATTTCATTTGTTGTTTTTAAAAGCCAATATAAAGTAAAAGTAGTGGAGGAATGTGCCGTACATTACTGTGTATACAGCGAGTACTCCTAAGTAAGCCCCTTCCTCTGTTCGCACAGTTTTGCCACATTCACACTCCTCATTTTCTTTTGGTTGCCCAAGATTGAACCCACCCTGCAAGAAACAAAAAATACCTGTGGCCTTTGATAGAAAAACAGGGAAAGGGGGGACCTGGACTATGGAGAAAAAGACAGGACAGGGGGATGGGGGTTGGGCTGAACATTGGGGAAACAGAAAAACAAGGGAGAGAGACTGGAATTTGGGCAGATAGAAAAATAGGGGGATGGACACTGGAGAGACAGAAAAACATGGAGAAGGAGGACTGGAATTTGGGGGGATAGAAAATTGGGGATCTGTACTTTAGAGACATAGAAAAATGGTGGTGGGGAAGGGGAGACAGAAGAGTGGGTAGGGGCGCTAGAGAGAGAGAAAAAGCCTGTGCGTGCGTGCTAGTGTGCGTTGCTTGTTACCTAGTTGCATTCTAAGATTACTCATGCAACTTTGTTAGGTATAATATTTATATAATATAGTTATAATAGTTAGCAAAGTAGACACTGCTGCCCTTAACCCAAGAGTTAATGCAAGCTTCTGGACCACTGGTTCTCAGCCAGAGAATGCAAGGAAGCTTCTATGCACCAGTAGGCAGTATGCCCCCCTGTCTTGTTTTACTGCACCCCCAGATTATACAAACTAGATCTGGCCCTGACAGTTTGGTCTGTTAAAGGACATTGAAAAATAACAGACTTGCTGGTCATATCTACAGGTGAAAATGATGGAATAAAAGCCTAACAAAAAAGTGGTAGCTACCACAAGAATTGGTAAGCTGCAATATCATAAAAAAAAATATTTTGTTTTAATACCACTTTAAATATAAATGCAATATTTGAACTGGGTTGCCGCGAAGAATACATTACTAACAAATGAAAAAAGCTGGTATATGGCTCATAGTCACTGGTTGTGTATTTCTGCTATAGAAATGTACGATGTGTGCACAAATGCTCAGATTAAGGTTTATTGAAGGAGGTTATCTTATTTGGGTTTGCCGGTTTTGAGAGAGAGTTTTGCTGTGGCCTTTGTTAGCTGTAATTCCTACTTATTAAGTATTACAGAACATTATACAAATACTTAAAAAAAAGTAATAATTTATATGTCCTACCTTCGCAAAATACTTGATTACGTATTTCCACCTGATGTATGGGGTTCTGCACAGAGAAAGATTAACTGTGAATTTCATACATTTCTACCACACTTTAGCAAAAGCATTGCACCACTATCAATATTTTACTGGTTGCACAGAGATATCGATTAGAAATAGTATTTTATGGAACTCTGACATCTGTAGCCTAAAACCAAAAACACCCAGTGACATTTCAAAAGTTTTCAAAGGACAAATTTTTACAATACTAGAGAATTTGTTACCAACGCTGTTAAAGCAATTTTTATTATGAAAATTATTTGATACCAAAGGGAGCAAAAAGCTGCTGCATTTAAGTATTGTTCAGACCCAGGCTGATGACCTGGCAAAAGAGGGTTTGGTGTGTCAGAGTACTTGTGAGCAGTTTACAAGTTTCTGAGGGATTATCATGGTTACTGAATTTAAATAAATAAATTTAAAAAAAATTACTCTGACAACATTGACTATAGTCATTAAAGCTCTACTGAATTTAGCAAACTTTAGTCTTCATAGATAAATGTGGTTGGTTTAATACATATAGGCAGCCATAGATAAATGTGGTTGGTTTAATATATATCAGCAGCCATAGATAAATGTGGTTGGTTTAATATATATCAGCAGCCATTGATAAATGTGGTTGGTTTAATACATATAGGCAGCCATAGATAAATATATATAGGCAGTGGTTGGTTTAGTACATATAGGCAGCCATAGAAAAATGTGGTTGGTTTAATATATATCAGCAGCCATAGATAAATGTGGTTGGTTTAATATATATAGGCAGCCATAGATAAATGTGGTTGGTTTAGTACATATAGGCAGCCATAGAAAAATGTGGTTGGTTTAATATATATCAGCAGCCATAGATAAATGTGGTTGGTTTAATATATATAGGCAGCCATAGATAAATGTGGTTGGTTTAGTACATATTAACAGCCAGGACTGCCTTTTCGCGCTAATCCAATACAACCTCAAACGCAATTTACTATGTTTTGTTCTACAGACGTTGTTAGGAATATTGTAGAATAATGTAAATTACACCTGTCAATACATATACAAAAAGATTTCAAGCTTTACAAATCACGTTAAGGCCCAGTATATCTTACAATGTAATATGGGGATCTTCAACAGTGGCAACAGTGTATTGTAGAATGCACTAGGAGCCTGGTCCGGTGAGTGGACTATGGAGAAGGGAAAGCTGAACTGGATAAGATCTGTAGGATGGGAAGGGGGTGGGGAGATGAGTACTGGAGGGAGGGGGAGATCTGAACTTAGGAGTGAGATCTGTATTGGGGGGGGGGGGGGGGAATCTTTCAGACTCTCACTTGTGGTACAGTAATAAAAGCATATTTTTTGGGGTACAAGGATTACATGTACACAGTGAGCAGGCTCATGTTTAAGCCCATCCAACTGTTATCCCAATTTTACCAAACCCACAATACTAACTATCCTGTAAAGCAGAGGAATTAAAATTAATGGAGATCTGGTTAGTAAAATATTCTTCCAGCAGAGGTCTGAATTACATATCTGTGCGATGACACAGACAGGGCTGCTGTTTTTAACCACGGGGCCCTATACAGCCAGCCTGACAGCTGCCCCTCCCTCCCCCCCCAAAAAAAACACACAGTTTACGATGCTTCAGTTATGAATGAGCACAGTGAGTGATTGGTGCCGATCAATCATTTTGTTTATTCAGGAAAGGAAGGGACTGGTAAATAAGGCAGTTAGTGCAGTGCAATTAAAAAAAAAAAAAAAAAAAACTTTTTTCTCAGCAATTCTCATGGGTAGTGCAGTTCATTAAAATGAATAGGTGCATGCACACAGATCTGAACCGAGTCCCACATAACAATCCCATGCTTACATCAGTGTCCTCAGTCCACACCACACGTTATGGTTCCCTCCCCTTTACATCAAGACCCCCCCCCCTTTACAGCAGCGCCCTCCACTCCAATCACAGTAGTATTCTCATACCCCCTGACATCAACCCAACCTCCCCAACAGTACTGATCTTAACCCCCCTCATTACAGTATTCAGTCCCTCCACATTACTGTTCTCTGCCCCTTTAAGATTATGTTCTTCAACCCCCCCCCCCCTCTTCCGCATTACTCTCCTCAGCCCCACATTACCCGCCACCTTTACAATAATGTCCTCAGCACACCCCCCCCCCCCATTATAACACTGAAGTCCCCTACCACACATTACTGTCCTCATCCCCCCTCCCAACCCTTCCACATTACAGTACTTAGCCCCCTCTCATTACAGTACTACTCAGTCCCCCTCCCACATTACTGTTCTCAGCTCCCCCACATTAGCCCCTCTTCACACCAATGCTCTCTGCCCCACTTTCACATTTTTACCCCCACCCACTGTTCTACCTTACACAGACAGGGTGGGCGAAAGGCACAACAGGCTGGATAGAGGGTGGGAGCTGCAAGCTGGTGATTGGTTGCTAGAACCGTCTTGCATCCTAGCAACCAATCACCTGCTTTTAACCTCCAGCAGTTCTCGCTCTCTATCCAGAACTGTCATTCCTCCCGCTGTCAACTCTGTAAGAATAATAGTGGTGACCACTGGGTGAAGAACCGGCTCCTAAATGGGGACCACTGCAGTCTGGATGGGATAGTGATTGGGTCCAGATCCAGACTGCGGTCTGCCATTTGAAGCCTGCTGTAAAGGAATAATATGTGTCTACTCGCCTGTTTTGAGTTTGCTCCGGTCTGGTCATGTGATCTTCACAGCCGCTGGCTTCAGTGAAGAGGAGAGATCACCGACAATGGCTGAAATACCTATGGGGTGATGTCACCTACAGACTTATTATGGGGCACCTGTTGCCAGCTGTCCCTCCTCTACACTGAAGTCGTCGCATGTGACCAGACTAGAGCAACCTCAGAATACATGAGTATATAGTACACATCTTTCCTTTACAGGATAATTAGTACTGGGTCAGGGGTGGACTGACAAATCATGGGGCCCCCGGGCAATAGGGGATCATGGGGCCTGTGTCCTTGCCCAAACTCAAAAAAGCCTATGAAAAAGGTACCAGGGGCATCTCATGGGGCTCCCTACTGACCCAGAGCCCTCGGGCAGTGCCAGAGTTTCCAAATGGTCAGTCCGCCCCTGTATATGTATCACTTCTTTATTATTATTATATATAGGATTTATATAGCACCAAAAGTTTACACAGCACTTTACATTATAAGGGGGACAGTACAATTACAATACAGTTCAATACAGAAGTAAGGAGTAGGAAGGCCCTGCTCATGTAGCTTACAATCTAAATGTTAAGTAATAACAAAGTTATTGTCCAATCAATAGACCCATAGCTGAAATGTAAAAATTGCACTGGTCTACTGTAATACCCTACACACTCCATTCCGGCACATACATGCTAAGAAACGTCTTTAACGTTGCTGGTGATATCACCTGGAGCAGGCACTCTTTTGCTGGAATATAGAGACATGTATATGGTGGCTAAGGTGCATTGTTTGGTCTTAATCCAGTCCTGCTTTTAGGACTTCTGATCTCTTTTTGATTGTAGGAGGCTCCATATCCAATATGTATGCCATAAACGTTGCTCGGTTTCACCGTGGGCCAGGTGTGGACTGACAAATCATGGGGCGCCCGAGCAATAGGGGATCATGGGGCCTGTGTCCTTGCCCAAACTCAAAAAAGCCTATGAAAAAGGTACCAGGGGCATCTCATGGGGCTCCCTACTGACCCAGGGCCCTCGGGCAGTGCCTGACTTTCCAAATGGTCAGTCCACCCCTGTATTGGGCTTAGAATGGGGGTAGGAGCAGGTTTAAAGTGTTACTATACAACATTAAAATCAGTCTTTATATGCAGTAAAGCATGCTGGTTATACTCACTGTGGAACCTAAGGGGTTTATCCTCTGCATTGTGTAAAAACGCTGTTTGATCCTGACTTCTCTGACCCTCCCCTTCTTCCAGTGTCCCCCTCTTATCTCCTGATAAGACATATGGTGTGGAGACACTGCACAAGCTCAGTTTGGTGTGTATCGCTAGAGAAGTTTTTTTTTTTCTTAGGAGAGTGCATGTGATCAGCACAGGGATAATCAAAGCTGTTCAGACAGAGGTCAGGGGCCCTGCATCCTCCTAGAGCAGAATGAAAACTCCTTTTACAAGCTGTAACCAATGCTCTGCTGAACACTGATAGAAGTCACAAGACTACTCTAACTGCTGATGAGAAAAGGTATTTAGCAGTTTATATTTACTAAAATAATAACATTTCTATGTTTTGTGTACTGTGGAAGACCAGATATAGTGAATGCAGGGTCCTGGGTTTAATAAAACTTTAAGCATAGATAGTATTTGACTAGACTTTTACTTTAAGTATAGTTCTTCAAGCTCTGAGATAATACTTTTAGAGATGAGCGAATCGAACATGACGAAGTGGAATTCGTTTCGAAGATTAGGAAAAATTCGATTCGCGCCGAATCTGAAAATTAGCAAACTTCGGATGCACGAATCGAATTTTCCCAAAAATGGCGGCGACATGTGTGGCGACGGAGCGGGGATCTCTGGGAAGGCGCGCAGACAAGGCGCGCTGACCCATAATGCATTCATTCATGACATGTGATCGCATTAGCCAATCAGCAGCCAGCCAGCCAGCACTGTGTAATGGTGGAGCTATAAATCGCGGCCATCTTAGAATTCTCCATTAGCCTCCGGTCATTCAAGAGAGACAGACCTGTCTGTATTAGGGACAGAGTTAGGGCCACAGAGACTTTAGGGCCACAGAATCGTTACTCAGGGACACAGAATCGTTACTCAGGGACAGACACAGAATCGTTACTCAGGGACACAGAATCGTTACTCAGGGACACAGAATCGTTACTCAGGGACACAGAATCGTTACTCAGGGACACAGAATCGTTACTTTCTGCTTCACAACCACTATTGTACGTTCAAAGAGTTAAATCCTGTTTTATGTTTGGGGTGCTTATTGAATTAAAGAGTATGTCAGACAACACGCAGAGGAGTGGCAGAGGAGGCAATGTTTCAGGAGCGAGCAGACGTGGCAGCAGAGGAAGGGGTCGAGGCAGCACTAGTCGCAGCCAGAGGCCAGTGCTCCCGGTGTCATCCAGCGGTCGTGTCTCCACGACACAAGCAAGCCCACTGAAATCACGTGTCCTCGACCTGCCCCTGTCCTTTGGTGTTCCCTCACCAAGCGAAGTATCGCATGCTGTGGGCTCAGCCCCACTGTACAGTGAGGAAGAGCTAACAGAGGGCGGTCAGGAACGGGGGGGAGACATCCGCCTCTTCAGCAGCCAGGCGAAGAAGTACTGGCGAGGAGAGTGGCTCGGTAGCCGGTCTAGAGACAGGTCTGTCCCTGACCCACACGCAGCCGAGGGGGCTAGTAGTGACGCGGAGACCCTAATTGATGATGATGAGGCTGATCGCACTTGGCAGCCTCGTCATCATCAGGCTATTGCTTCCGCATCATCAGGAGAAGAGGGTGCCAGCTTGCCAGCGAGCAAAACAGTCGGTGGGTTGCCCAGGAGGCAGCAGGGTCGCAGCAGTGTCAGTGGAGGCAAACGGCCACGGAGTAGAGCACCAGCTCCACTGCAGCCTACCACCACGGCCAGTAGTGGTGCCGGTGTGCACGGAGGAAGTAGCAGTCAGCCAGTGAGGAGTAGCGGGGGCAAAGTTTCCTACTCGGCGGTGTGGCAATTTTTCGTCAAGCCGCCCGAGGAAGTAAACGTAGCCGTATGTCGACTATGTGGCCAGAAAGTCAAGCGTGGCCAGGGGGCCCATGTTGGGACTACAGCGTTGCGTCAGCATATGCAGCGTCGCCATTCGGTGGCCTGGGAAAACCGTGATAAAGATACGGCGGTTCTGCCTGCCCCAGCCCCCGCTCCATCACCCGCTCCGTTACTTGCTCCGTCACCCGACGTCAATCGCCCTCTATCAGCCAGTCAAGGCTCCAACACCTCTGCTGAGGGGAGTTGTCGCTCGTTGGCATCTTCCGCTCGTTCAGATGCTCCTTCTCCTGCTACTCCTCTTCACGGATTCCGTCAGCAGTCTTTCTTGGAATCCGTTTCCAAGAGACAACAGTTTGCGAGCACGCACCCGACGGTGCAGAAGCTGAACGTCCTCCTGTCCAAGTTGCTGGTGCTGCAGTCCCTCCCTTTCCAAGTGGTGGACTCAGCACCTTTCCGAGAAATGATGGCTTGTGCCGAGCCGCGGTGGAGAGTGCCAAGCCGGCATTTCTTCGCCAAAAAGGCAGTGCCAGCCCTGCATTCACATGTAGAAGAGATGGTGGGCCAGTCTTTGAGCATGTCGGTCTCTGCCAAAGTGCACGGCAGCGCCGACGTGTGGAGCTGTAACTACGGTCAGGGACAGTACATGTCATTTACGGCCCACTGGGTGAACGTGGTGCCGGCACAGCCGCACCAGCAACTTGGACAGGTCACGCCGCTTTTGCCTCCACGTTTGCACGTCCTTGGTCCAGCAAAGATGTCCGCCTCTACCACCTCTTCTTCCGCCGTGTCCTCAGCCGCCACCCCCGTGCCAAGTCCCATTACCCGACCGGCATATCACATGTGCAGGGCGCAACGGTGTCACGCTGTGCTGCACCTGGTATGCCTTGGCGAACGTAGTCACACAGGGGAGGAACTTCTGAGTGTAATGAACAGAGAAATCGACAGATGGCTGTCTCCGCGCAAACTGAAAATCGCAAAACCATGTTGACCGACAACGGAAAGAACATGGTGTCTGCTCTGCGTCAAGGAAGGTTGTGCCATGCGCCATGCATGGCTCACGTGTTCAATCTGGTTGTCAAGCGGTTTCCTAAAATCCACCATCCCACTGCAAGACATCCTTAAAATGTCACGTAAACTTTGCATGCATTTCAGCCATTCCTACACCGCAAAGCACACCCTCCTTGAGCTGCAGCGGCAGAACGGAATTCCACAGCATCGCCTGATCTGCGACGTTGCAACAAGGTGGAATTCAACCCTACATATGTTAGACCGCCTTTACGAACAGCGAAAGGCCATCACCGATTTCCTGATGTTACAAGCGGATAAAGGTACTCCCCTGTGTAACTTAGATGTCAGCCATTGGCAGCTCATGCGTGACACCTGCCGCTTGCTCAGGCCCTTTGAGGAGGCCACGCTATTCGTGAGTCGGCAGGACTATGGGATGAACGACGTCATTCCTCTGTTGCACGTCCTGGAACAAATGCTGTTAACAATGGCTGGTCAGGGTGCGGTAGACGTGGCGCACAGATCTCAACGCCACATGACCCCTGTGGGGGCAGGACAGGAAGAAGAGGAGGAGGTAGAGGAGGACATTGGTGCTCAGGAATTATTGAGTGAAATGGGTGGTTTTTCCACTCAGCGGACAGGAGTGGAGGAGCAGGAGCATCTGGTAGAGGAGGAGGAGGAGACAGAGGACCCAGACGCACCGTGGCAGTATGCTGTGGAGATGGAGGCAGGGAGTCCCTCGCATTCCTTGGCACAAATGGCCCATAGCATGCTCGGTTGCTTGCGTAGCGACAGCCGAATAATAACCATCAGACAGAGGGATGACTTTTGGCTGTCCACCTTGTTGGACCCTCGCTACCGTTCAAAAATGGTGGCCTTTTTCACACCTGCTGAGAGGGAGGCCAAAATAAAGTACTATAAAAACCACCTATGTAGTCAGTTGGTCTCTGCCTTTCTGCGCCAACGTCCATCCTCAGACACTGTGGGCCCTGTGCGCTCGCGTTCCGCTGCCATGGCAGCAGGGGAGGGGTGGGGTGGTAGGAGCAGTGGCAGCTCCACCAGCAGCGGCTGCCTCAGTCTGCAGTCGATGATGAGTAGCTTTCTTCACCAGCGCAGTGAGGAAACTACTAACCAGCCGCAGCAGCAGCAGCATCAGGTGGACCTGGAGCAGGACCTCAAACAACAGGCTCGGGCCTACTTGGACAGCACCCTGCCAACCGAGGTAGACAATCCCCTTGACTACTGGGCAACGAAACTTGACCTTTGGCCCCAACTAGCTGAATTTGCCCTTGAAAGGCTGTCATGCCCGGCCAGTAGCGTGGCATCGGAGCGCGTGTTTAGTGCGGCAGGAGGTATTGTAACTCCGCGGAGGACACGACTGTCCACCCAAAGTGTGGAGAGACTCACGTTTGTGAAAATGAATCAGGCGTGGATTAGTCTGGATTTCAAACCACCAGTTCCTGACACAACTGACTAAATCCGCCATGAATCATGCCCCAAACATGTTATTATTTTTAACATAGGCCTCTGTATGGCCTTCAATTTAAGCTGCTTACGCTTCGCCACTCTGCCATGGGCCCCTGTACCGCCTCCTCTTGCTGCTGCCAGGTCCAGAGTGTGTCATGGGTCCCTGTACGGCCTCCCATTGCTGCTGACTTCATCGCCAGACTCTGCCATGTGCCACTTTCAGGTCTCCTTACACTGTTGGTGGGTTCCATTTTGTGATAGGGTGCTGTATGGCCTTCCATTGCTGCTGCCTCCACCGCCACCCTGCGCCATGTGCCTCTGTCGTCTGCTCACGTTGCTGACGGCTTCCGCTTTTTAACCGAGGCCTGTGTTTGGCTTCCGAATACTGCTGCATCCACCGCCACCCTGCGCCATGTGTCTCTGTCGTCTGCTCACGCTGCTGACGGCTTCCGCTTTTTAACCTAGGCCTGTGTATGGCTTCCGAATACTGCTGCCTCCACCGCCACCCTGCGCCATGTGCCTCTGTCGTCTGCTCACACTGCTGACGGCTTCCGCTTTTTAACCGAGGCCTGTGTTTGGCTTCCGAATACTGCTGCATCCACCGCCACCCTGCGCCATGTGTCTCTGTCGTCTGCTCACGCTGCTGACGGCTTCCGCTTTTTAACCTAGGCCTGTGTATGGCTTCCGAATACTGCTGCCTCCACCGCCACCCTGCGCCATGTGTCTCTGTCGTCTGCTCACGCTGCTGACGGCTTCCGCTTTTTAACCTAGGCCTGTGTATGGCTTCCGAATACTGCTGCCTCCACCGCCACCCTGCGCCATGTGTCTCTGTCGTCTGCTCACGCTGCTGACGGCTTCCGCTTTTTAACCTAGGCCTGTGTATGTCTTCCGAATACTGCTGCCTCCACCGCCACCCTGCGCCATGTGCCACTTTCAGGTCTCCTTACACTGTTGGTGGGTTCCATTTTGTGATAGGGTGCTGTATGGCCTTCCATTGCTGCTGCCTCCACCGCCACCCTGCGCCATGTGCCTCTGTCGTCTGCTCACGCTGCTGACGGCTTCCGCTTTTTAACCGAGGCCTGTGTTTGGCTTCCGAATACTGCTGCATCCACCGCCCGCCCACTGCTGCTGCCAGGCCCGTAATCTGTCATGGGCCCCTGTACCGCCTCCTCATGCTGCTGCCAGGTCCAGAGTGTGTCATGGGTCCCTGTACGGCCTCCCATTGCTGCTGTCTCCATCGCCACACTCTGCCATGTGCCACTTTCAGGTCTCCTCACACTGCTGGTGGGTTCCATTTTGTCATAGGGTGCTGTATGGCCTCCCATTGCTGCTGCTTCCACCGCCACTCTGTGGCTCCACACTCTGGTTTTGGCCCCGTGACTGCCCAAATGAGTGAAGTGTGCGGTGATTCTAAGATCGACGGCACTCATCTGCATGTCATACTGACTGACAGTATTAGTTCTCTTCCCCAGCAGACTCCAAGGGCATTTAAATTAAAGGTACAGTGTTCTGCACTAATATAAAGGCTCTCTGAAGCCTAGAAACACCCTTTTTATAAGTTAAATTCGCAGCGAATATATTCGCCTCGAATCGAATTTATTCCGCGAATTCGGCGAATCAGCCGAATCGAATTTTTGAATAATTCGCTCATCTCTAAATACTTTCATCTGTAGAAAAAGCAGCACAAAGTAATCCAAACATGTATATGCAGTTGCAATGGTCTCATTTATATATATATATATTTTTTTTTTTTTACCTGGGATAGCTGTCTCTATAGATCATCGTTGGACAGAAGAGAAAATACAGGTAACTGGAAAGTTGTGGCAGTTGAACCTCTTTGTCTATAAGAAGACGTACATGGGAGATATATTAGATTCACATCTATGAGAGATTGTGCTATGCTCTAGTCTATACCAAAGACACTTTTGTGTTTGCATTGATAAGCACCAAACACTTTAAACATCTGTGCTATTAAACAGTAGTTCTTCATGTACAGTTTGCCAATTGAGCAGAACTTGGGTATTGTGTGAATACACAAAAAACATGTGTTGCAGTTGTGGTGCCATTCATTGTTAATGGAAACCCAAATGCAGAAAGCAGAACAAAGGGGCAGCAAAATGCATGTTAAATGAATAGGCTGCCCTGTGCATGAAGTGCGCAAATGTGGGTCATGTTCTGAAGAGGGGCTAGGGATCTAAGGGCTCGTTCACACTTGACTTTATTTCTAACTCTTGCCAAACACCCCTATAGCATTTGACAGGCGTTAGACAAGCGTTTGGGAAGCATTTTGAATGCTCCTCAAACGCTCCCCAAATGCTCCCAAAATGCCCTATGTGCGGTTTTGAGGCGGTTGATAGGCGTTTGTCAAGCGTTACTACTGCACCACAAACGCCTATAATGAAGTTAAATGGTATTAATGCTCCGCAACCGCACCGCAAATGCCTGCCAAGTGTTTGCGGAGCGGCACCATAGACTTGAATGGAAGGCTTCAACTCCTCCTGACTCGACACGAGGCGTCAGTTTTTGTGCTGCCCTGTGCAGAATTTTTATCGGTGTTTGAGAAGCGTTAACAACGCATCCCAAACGCCTGTCTGACAAAGCTAGTGTGAACGTAGCCTAAATAACTCATGTGATTTCTTTAAAGGAGGGTTAAACCCTGGTTCTTGTTATAAGAAGAAAGTGGTTTGCTTTTAGGTGAACCAAAGGTCAAAAATGGAAGATTTCTTATGTTAGGTTTTGTTATGGCGAACAAATGTCACTAGGATAGTGAATGAACCGGGATACTGAAGGAGATGTTACAGTGGAAGAGGCTTAAAAGGGCATGGCTATATAAAACCTAAGCCTGCTCACTGTATGTACAGCAACCCCCCCTACTGCCCACTTTTGCACCCCTCCTCCACTGCTCACTTCTGCACCTTCTATACCCCACACTCCCTGCGTACCTCATTCACCAATTACTTCTGCACCCTCCTGCTACCAACCTGCATTGCTCCTCTATAAACTGCTCATCTCTGCACCCTCTGCCCCATGTTCCCTGGCTCATCTCTCAAACCGTTGCCTCTCTCCACACCCCTGTCCACAGCTTACCCCTCCAACACTGCTCACATATGCATCTGTTCCCCAGAACTGTAACCCCCCCAACCGCGCACACCTATGCTACTTCTGTATATCACACACACACCTCTGTCACCACTGCTCCCCCCCCCCCCCAAACACACACCTCTGCCATCCACTTGTTACCCCTGGGCTGGCACTGGTATTTGAGGTTTACTGTGTACAAGTGGTTGTGGGAGGTCTTGAAGAGTGAATGATGCAACAAGCTGCACACAGTTTCAGAAACCGCATGGTGAGCAGCATGCCCACAACTAATGAGCTGCAGCTGACAACTGCATGGTGGTCAAGTGCAGGGCCCAGGGCACCCAGTAAGATGCGGGGCACATGCCCTGGGTACCTAAGCTAGCAGCATAATAGGAAACATATAGCAAAATTCACTGCTAACAACAACGGATTTCCTGGTATGTGGATGTGTCTACAAAGCTCAAAGCTGTAAGTTTGGTTGTTGTAGGTTCAATGTCACTGCTGCCTCTGATGGCTAGTCTCAGGAATTCTAGAATGAGATTTGATTATGTTCTTACTGTGCTGCTGTTCTCCAAGACAGAGGCTGTGATATGAGGAAGCAAAGCTCTGGCCAGGGGTGGACTGACCATTTGGAAACTCGGGCATTGCCTGAGGGCCCAGGGTCAGTAGGGGGCCACATGAGATGCCCCTGGTACCTTTTTCATAGGCTTTTTTGAGTTTGGGCAAGGACACAGGGGCCCCAAGATCCCCTATTGCCCGGGGGCCCCATGAGTTGTCAGTCCGCCCCTAGCTCTGGCTCTACTAAGAAGGCCATCTCTACACAGAGATACATTGTAGAACAAGGCTTGGGGAAAGTTTAGCTGCAGGGAACCAGGGAGCGACAGGCAATAAAGGTGACTAGTAATCCCTTGCCCTGCTATTGCCTTTTTTTAGCATAACGTCAAAAATGCCTCTTTAAGGTGTAAATGCTATATCATACAATGCATTCTCACTGTTCACCCAAATTCTGTAAACATTTTTAGCATTTTTTTCAACTTTTGCCAAGACAGTCTCTTTTTAGAAATATATAGAGAAATCACTATTGCCACTAACATGGCCGAAGCTTGGAGCTCTTTAAAGTTTCTCCTCCACCATTTTGAACATTCTTAAGGGAAAGGACATGAGTTGGGATGGATATCCCCAGTCCATTGCCATCGTGTTTCCCCTTAGAAAACGTTCATCTCAGGTGCTCACCCACCCTCCCCCTCCACAGTCACAAGCCTACATACAAATATGCATGTTTGTACAAGGCTCTTTGTTTAGAACGATAATTTGGTGGCCAAATCACGATAACCTGCCATCTAAAATCTGTAGGTGCCTTCACCAGAAAAGCCAAACTATTCCACACTAAAAATAAATAAAAAAAAAAAATCAATCTTTGGTGGTATTTTTTGGTTTAATTTTAATAATTGCTCATTGTCTTTACAGTTTACTTCATTAAATGTATATTGGCTTCACTTTAGCCTTGCTATGAGACACACATACATTATATACACTATATTGCAAAAAAACGTATTGGGACCCCCTCCAAATCATTGGATTCAGGTGTTCCAATCAAGCACCCAGGCATGCAGACAAACATTTGTACGAGAATGGGTCACTATCAGGAGCTCAGTGAATTCAATGGTGATACCTTGATAGGTTGCCACCTGTGCAATAAGTCCATCCATGAAATTTCCTTGCTACTAAATATTCTACGGTCAACTGTTAGTGGTATTATACTAAAGTGAAAGCAACTGGGAACAACAGCAACTAAACCATGAAGTGGTAGGCCATGAAAATGACAAATCACACTTCTCTGTCTGGGAATCCGATAGAAGTGTCAGGGTTTGGTGGTTGCCAGGAGAATGGTACTTGCCTGACTGCATTGTGCCAAATGTAAAGTTTGGTGGAGGGGGGGGATTATGGTGTGGGGTTGTTTTTCAGGGGTTGGGCTTGGCCCTTTAGTTCCAGTAAAGGGAACTCTTAAGGCGTCAGCACACCAGGAACATTTTGGACAATTTCATGCTCCCAACTTTGTGGGAACAGTTTGGGGATGACCCTTTCCTGTGTCAACATGACTGCACACCAGTGCACAAAGCAAGGTTCAGAAAGACATGGATGAGCAAGTTTGGGGTGGAGGAACTTGACTGGCCTTCACAGAGCCCTGACCTCAACCCGACAGAACACCTTTGGGATGAATTAGAGCAGAGACTGCGAGCCAAGCCTCCTTGTTCGACATCAGTGCCTGACAAATGCGCTACTGGAAGAATGGTCAAACATTCCCAGACACACGCCTAAACCTTGTGGACAGCCTTCCCAGAAGAGTTGAAGCTGTTATAGCAGCAAAGGGTGGACCAAGTTAATATTGAACCCTACAGACGAAGACTGGGATGCCATTGAAGTTCATGTGCGTGTAATGGTGTCCCAATACTTTTGGCAATATAGTGTATATATTCACATTCCTCTGCTTGCTTGAACATATGTATGCTAATATGCCTTATATAAAGCCCACCCATTTAGACAACTGGATATACACCAGAATGGAAAAAAAAAACAGACATGAAGCATTTTTTCTGATGCAGCACAACACAATGCATGGTGCAATGCACTGTGATGAGCTGCAACTCAAGTGCGGGAGAGATGCATTGCCTTATTATGTCTATATGCCATTGAAAACAAGTGGTACTTGTAACCATTGTGCGCAATAGGGACATGGAACCTGTACGTGACAGCCATCTTGTGAAGGTCTCATGATCAGTGTTCCTACTCCTCTCCCCTCTCTTTGCAAACTATGGAATTTGTAGCTGTAACTTTTAAACTTCAAAAAAACCTCTTATCTTAATTAAAACATTAATAGACGCAGTGTCCAAACCTGACCAGAGCTGTAAACAGCTAATTAGTCTTGGCAGGATATCTGTTTCCACAAACCATGAAAAACACTTTCTTCTGCACTATCGTAAAACAATAATAACTCAGTCAAGGTGTCACACATGACCTGTAAGGGCATTAAGGCTCTAGGAATACAGAGCTTGCCATAAAACATCTATTCCACAACGTAACAATTCCACATACAATTCAAAAAACTTCAACGGGAACAAGGCACATTAATATTATGTATATATTTGAATAAGGAATATCATACCAAACAAATCAATGTTAGCACATAGGAAAGGGGAGAAAGCAGTCTCCTCTCACCTAGGTGACATTAATAAACCCTATTTTGAAAAGTGTTAAAACTATCTCTAAAGCTTTTAATGCAAACTAAAGACTCCCTGTCTCTTGAAGAGTGCTACTGTTTATAATAATCCTCGAAATATACCTGTCTGTGGTGACAATGTGTGTTAGACATTTATTGTTCACATTTGTTCTTGCTAACATTGTGAAGGGTTGGAGTTTGAAGGGTCAATTGCATAATTAATTAACCCAGTGACAATAAGGCTGCTGGCACATAGATTGTCATCCCACAAGCTGGAAAATCTTTGTGCATGGAGCAGCTGAGAGTGGTATTATTACGCAAGTGACAGCGTGGTGCGAGATTGGCTGGTCCTTTATCACGAGAAGGGCAGGAGTCGGGCACCGTGCTCGTCACAGTACTGTAATGGATTAATGCATGTGAATTACTGATAAAGTAACATGTAATGGCATAAATACTCTATAGGGTTTTTTTCCTTATTGTATAGATATAGGCGTGTTTCCCCTATTGTGTAGCTACTAGTGCTAGGTGTTGGGAGAGGGAGATCTGTACAATAAAAAAAAATGGCATAAGATTTTTCAGCAGAGGGCTCTCTTCCCTCTTAGCCACCTCTACGTCCTCTTATCGGATAACTACTTGCCATATTGGATGCAGGACAACATGCTTTTATACAGTTGCAATAACCTTCTCTGTAAACTTGTTTGTTGTTTAAGTTTCTCAATGTACAATTTTTTAGTGTACAACACATGGCACTATAACATGTTTTCTCTTTCCATTTTTTCATTGAAAAAATAAAGCTTGAAAAAAAAAAAAAAAAAAAAAAAAAAAAAGAAATGCCACAAGATAAATAGTGCAGAGGAAATTCAGCAAAATATGTAGAGAAACAAAATGCAAAAGAAGAAAATATCCAACCTTAAATAGTTGATATGAATAGCTTTGGTAAATGGGACTTTTACAAATAGCCTATGTGCCCGTTTCTTGTAATAAATACAAAATTTGGCATTGTACTTTGTTGGTGGACTGCTAACATTTGTGCTGGTTTCCATAATAGGTTCATAGAAAGGTAGTGCATTTGACGTCTATTCAGATGTTAGAGTAGACACATTTGTTCCTTTTTCTTAAACAAATCCCATACTTACTTTCCTTCTGTAAGACAGTTGGAACTACCTCTCGTAAAAAGGAATACGTCTTCATAAGGAATCGAACCTGTATGAAGAAACCATAATCTTAGCTTTATGGACACAGAGCATGGACCTGAGTGGCAGAATTGCAGGGGAGAGCTGTAGTGCAGGGCTGACTACTGTTGGCCTGTCTGGGGAATTTAAAGTTCACAGCCAAAAGGAAACACAGCATCATCTCCTTGATTTCAATAAAGGTAAATCTTAAAAATAATACATTCCTCTCAGCCCCCCTTTATAAAATTCTTATGATTACAGCAGTTCCTGAAACACGGCAGTGGAATCAGTGAAACAATTGCTACGGCTAGTAGCATCAATCAAGAGCAATACATTGTAAGTGTTCTGTGGAAAGGTACGTTCAGCTGAATTACCCAAGTATGTACATCACGTTCTACAGCTCTCATTTGTAAAAGAGCGTTACAGGTGAAAATTAGCCCCCCCACCTTCCCTATACTTTTGTTGCTAGCCCTTTTGATCATCAAGGTAAAAGCTGATGTAAGGCCATAGACAGTGCTAAAGATCTCTGAAATGAAAAGGAAACCTTGGATGAAAGTAGTAAGTAGGCTACTACTAATCCACCTGGAAGAGCCATTGACAGGAAAGGGTGCCACAGCATCAATGCATGGCTGATGCCATTTCAGTTCAATAAAACCTTTTAGCCAAAGATTCTGTGACACACATGGGGTATCACCATCTGTCACCATTGTTTATGTGCAATGTTAATAAAATATAAGTATGACAATCGCTGGTATTTTATTTACAGAACTCACCTGTTCCAGGGTGACGATGAAACTTGATGCTGGAGGCAGCTGGTAATGTTTTACCACATAGACAGGGAAAATACAAAGGACACATGTCTGACCCACAAGTAGAAATATTACAACCAAGGCAGACAACATGATTTTGTGATTGGATTTGGGATACAAAGACCCCCAAAAGACTAGTGCTTTATATGGCACCAACAGTGTATATACAAACATACAGATCCAGGACCATGTAACCGTGCCAATTTGTCCAAAGGCATAAAGGAAAAGGTCAAGTTCACAACGAACCCTAGAGAGAAAGGGAGCAGAGGCTTTAATTATTGTTTCAGGTGTGATTATATATTTTATACACATAGATACACATTGTTTCGCTATTAATTCATTATAAAAAATACACAATCATTATTAAAGTAATATAGATCCTGTAATATTAATATAGTCATAAGAAACATTTTTTTTAATAAGATGACTTTATCTTCATGCAGTGGTAAATTCGTCGACGAAAATATTTTTGTCAGTGGTACATTTTCAGTGATAAAAATCAATTAGAATTTTCATCAATGAACAAGAACTAAACAAAAATGAATCGCACATGTCATCAGTTTTGAACATGATTTCAGCACAGTTTGCTCTCTAGTCACTGAATTGGCAGCTACTGTATATGAAAAATCCTGTCCTGAGCCGCACCTAAACCTGTACCGAACTTGAAAAACTACTTTACCCACAAGTTTATGAAACTTAGTTTTATTCACATAAAGACCTTATATATCACAACGGTTAAATCTGTGTCTGTACTGCATGTTCAAAAACTTTAATATAATAAATAATACCACGTTATTAGATTTATACTCCAGGAGTATATAATGAGTTTGGAAATTCTAGCGAAATGCTTAAATAATGCATTACAATTTACTGTAACTAAACCCATTAGATTTTAGTCGACTAAAATGTACTGGAGATTTTAGTCAATTAAAATATGATTAAAACAATTCAGAGGACTAAAATATGACCAAAACTAAAATGGCATTTTAGTCAAAAGACTAAGACTGAAACTAAATTTAAATTTGACATAAAAATGAACGCTGTCTTCATAAAACATATACACTGCTCAAAGAAATTAAAAGGAACATTTTGAAAACACATCAGATCTCAATGGGGAAAAATATCATGCTGGACATCTATACGGATATAGACTGGGTAATGTGTTAGGAACGTAAGGATGCCCCATCGTTTGATGGAAATGATCAACCTACAGAGGATTGAATTCAAAGACACTCTGAAAATCAAAGTGAAAAAATGATGCATCAGGCTAGTCCATTTTGCTGAAATTTCATTGCAGCAACTCAAAATGATACTCAGTAGTTTATATAGCCCCCACATTGGGGCATGTTCCTAATGAGATGACAGGTGGTGTCCTGGGGTATTTCCTCCCAGATGTGGACCAGGGCATCATTGAGCTCTTGGACAGTCTGAGGTGCAACCTGGTGGCGTCCGACACACCGAAACATAATATCCCAGAGGTGTTTTATTTGACTTCGGTCACGCGATTGTGGGGGCCATTCAATGGTATCAATTTCTTCATCCTCCAGGAACTGCCTGCATACTCTCACCACATGAGGCCGGGCATTGTCGTTCACCAGGAGAAACCCAGGACCCACTGCACCAGCGTAGGGTCTGACAATGGGTCCAAGGATTTCATCCCGATACCTAATCGCAATCAGGGTGCCATTGTCTAGCCTGTAGAGGTCTGTGCGTCCCTCCATGGATATGCCTCCCCAGGCTATCACTGTCCCACCACCAAAATGGCCAAAATGGCCATGCTGAACGATGTTACAGGCAGCATAACCTTCTCCTTGGCTTCTCCAGACCCTTTCACGTCTGTTACATGTGTTGAACCTGCTCTCACAGGGCCAGGGCCCCAGTGGCGGACCTACCAATTCTGGTGTTCAATGGCAAATGCCAATCGAGCTCTATGGTGCCAGGCAGTGAACACAGGGCCCACTAGAGGACTAGAGGACATCAGACCCCCAGGCCACACTCATGAAGTCTGTTTCTGATTGTTTGGTCAGAGACATTCTCACCAGTGGCCTTCTGGAGGTAATTTTGTAGGGCTCTGGCAGTGCTCATCCTGTTCCTCCTTGCACAAAGGAGCAGATACTGGTCCTGCTGATGTGTTAAGGACCTTCTACTGCCTTATCCAGCTCTCCTAGAGTAAATGCCTGTCTCCTGGAATCTCCTCCATGCTTTTGAGACTGTGCTGGGAGACACAGCAATCCTTCTGGCAACGGCACGTATTGATGTGCCATCCTGGCGGAGTTGGACTGCCTGTGTAACCTCTTAGGGTCCAGGTATCACCTCATGCTACCAGTAGTGACACTGACCTTAGCCAAATGCAAAACTAGTGAAAAACAGTCAGAAAAGATGAGTAGGGATAAAATGTCAGTGGCCTCCACCTGTAAAACCATTCCTGTTTTGGGGGTTGTTTCATTGTGCCCATCTAGTGCACCTGTTGTTAATTTAATTAACACCAAAGCAGCTGAAACTGATAAACAACCCCCTTTGCTACTTAGCTGACCAGATCAATATCCCAGGAGTTTAATTGACTTGATGCTATACTCTGATTAAAAAGTGTTCCTTTAATTTTTTTGAGCAGTTTAAGATTATGAATTTATAGGGTGAAAAAACAGTGATGCAAACAATATTATGCTTTAACGCAATCGCCATCACCATGATCTCAGAGAACAGGGGAACCTGAAGAATCTTCAGAAGCATAGGCCCACTTTCTCATGCTATAATTTCCACTTCTAAAAAAGTCACAGGAAAATAAAAGGGATGAAGAGATATTGAACATTTGGAGATTCCACTAACCTCCCTTGGTCAACTGCTGTAGTAATCACAAAAACACAGAAGGCAGCCACAAACACGTGGTAAAGGGTTTGGAAATGTTCCACCTCCATCAGGTCACTGGAGAAAAAGGGGAGAAGATGCAACACAATCAATGGGTTTACTAGACATACTGGGGTTTATTTACTAAAGCTGGAGAGTCCAAAATCAGACTCCCTTCTGCATAGAAACCAATCAGCTTCCAGGTTTCATTGCCAAAGCTTCATTGAACAAGCTGAGGTTAGAAGCTGATTGGTTTCTATGCAGAAGGGAGTCTGATTTTGGACTCTCCAGCTTTAGTAAATAAACCCCACTGTATCATATACTCATTTCATATCCTCTGGACTGAATAAAGTGGTGAAGGGAGCACATAGGATCCCCCCCCCCCCCAAAAAAAAAAACAGGTTTCAAAAAGGGACCATCAAAGGATTAATTAATATATGACTTAAACTATCTACTACAGATGCATGTAAGCAAACCTGCAGATATTATTCACAAATCTACAATAGAAAGAAATACAATTTTTACATCTTTATATCATTCACACTGACCATGTTTATCTAGTCTCATGTATCAAGAATTTATGTATCCAAGGTTCCCTTAAATTAGTATTAAATCCAATAGCAAACATTTCTTATATCACAGCTTACTAATTCTTAGGTGTTATGGCTGCAACCTTACCTATGACAGCCATTCTTACAGTGATCAGATTTAATTTATGTAACACCTTTACACCAAATGGAAAAAAAAAACGGTTTGCAATAACTGTGTAAGGGGGATTTTGGCTTAAATTTGTTACTGTATTTAAACCTGCTAGTGCATATAACACTGCTCTTTCCGACTGACATGGCTGCTGTTCAAATATACCCCCTGTGCTCATTCATCCAGAGTGGGGGCACTAATACAGGAAGTGTGTAAATGGCCAGATCACCAGGTGAAAACAGAGGGAAAAAATTCTAAAAAAAAGAAAACTAATGCAGCAACCACATCTAATGATTGGTAAGCTGCAATATATACCATTTTTGGTTTTGGGTTTAATGCCGCTTTAATTTTGCACATGTAAGAATCTGCTGCCTTCTACTGTGTGCAAGTGGCTGTGCTGCCTAATGTTCACATAATTATTTATACACAGCACTTCTTCTCCCTGGGTTGTTGGGTTAAAAACTCAGGAAGGAGGAGAGAAAAATAGAGAGAAGAGAGAGACCACGTCTTGTCCATGAAAAAGAATGGTTACTAACCCAAACTAAAAGCAGGGTATTTTTTTTAATCAAATACTTTATTAAGTGCAACACCCTGCTATAATTCAGACAAGTTGAATTTCACTTAAAGGGATAGTGCCTGTCCCTGCATTAATCCTTGGAGGGACTTCCACCTATTGCATCCAAGGAGATCTGAGTTCTTGTAGTGCACCAACTGGGCCCCAGCGAGCGTGCAGAAGATATTTCACTGCTGTTAAAGGGACATTAACTTTCCGAATTAAGAGCTCTTTCCTTACCTCAGACTTGAACTTTGTCATCAGCTTCTGAGGACTGAAAGTGAGCAAGCCTTAATCTTTAGTGGTTTTCCTTTGCTCACTGGGGACATTTCAGAGCTAAGGCCCTAGGTTAAATTCTGAATTGCAGAACATCCAGAAGAGATTGAGATTTTTTCTGTATCTGTAGACTTTTTCTTAAAGTTACTAAGAGTGATAACTGTTATTATATGCACGCCTATTACTTTGTGCTGCTTTACTGTGCTTACATTCAACTCCATTAAAAACAAAATATCAGTTCACTCTAACTTGTGTACGAGTCTGTTTTCTGGTAAAATTGAGAACGTTTACTCTGGCAAGAATTGTGTGGTGGTGTCAGCAGGGGTTGGGCTTTCAGAGTGGAGTCAAGATTGACAGGGAGCCTGAAAATAATTCAGTGACGCCTAAGGTAGTAGCGCTATATACATTTAACTTTTTATACATCTACAGACAAAACTTATAACAGGTGTCCTTACAAAACAAAACAACTAAAAAATAAATAAATAAATATAACAATAATTTGTTCCAGTATATAGCAGTCATTACTGACTAATGTCAATGTCACAGCCCAATCAGTAATTTAGTTAAGTTCCCCACCATAGACCCATCAATGAACAGCATCACTATCGGCAGTCAGGGAGATCATCCAGACTAGTAGAGGCTATGCATGGGGGGGGGGGGGGGTTACCAAGAGCACCAGATCTTTTTTAACCACTAGCCTACTGGCCACTTATACCCCCTTCCTGCCCAGGCCAATTTTCAGCTTTCAGCGCTGTCACACTTTGAATGACAATTGCACAGTCATGCAACACTGTACCCATATGAAATTTTTATCATTTTTTTAGACAGATAGAGCTGTCTTTTGGTGGTATTTAATCACCTCTGGGTTTTATTTTTTGCTAAACAAACCAAAAACAACTGAAAATTTTGACAAAAAAAGTTTTTTCTTAGTTTTTGTTTTTAAAATTTTGTAAATAAGTGATTTTTCTACTTCACTGATATGCGCTAATGAGGCTGCACTGATGGGCACTGATAGGTGGCACTGATGGACACTGATGAGGTACTGGTAGGTGGCACAGATGGGCATTGACAGGCATCACTGATGGGCACTGAAAGGCAGCACTCACATATGGCACGGATAGGCGGCACTGATAGGTGGCACTGATAGGCGGTACTGACTGGCACTGTTAGGCGGCACTGAAAGGCAGCTCAGATGTGCACTGATATGTTGCATTGATGTGCACTGGTAGGCACTGATGTGGCAGTGTTGTGGCACTGATGGGCATTGGTAGGTGGCACTGATGACAGCTGGCATTGATGGACACTGACAGGTGGCACTGCTGGGGCTACACTGATCATCAGGGCACACTGATCATCAGTACCCTGATGATCAGTGTACATGTCCCCTCCGAGGAATGCCGATTACCGGCTCTCCTCTTGAGCTGTCAGCGTGACAGCTCATGAGGAGAGAAATGCAGATAACCGGCATTTCCCTATTTACATTCGATCAACTGTGATTGGACACAGCTGAGCACATGACCGAGCTGACATCTTCTTAGGATCAGGAGTCAGTTGGATTAAACAAAGTTCAAATAAAATTTGAAATGTATCTATGCAGTACCTTAACTTGGGATAGTGCCATAAAATATGAATTAACGTGCCTGTATGCATACTACAGAAAGGGAACTTAGGGGACCCTAAGAAAACAATTTTGAGGGGTATAGTAGAATCTATGGAGTATAAAAAGCCACGTCAGCTTTTGGGAAGGCAGGGGCGGACTGACCATTTGGAAACTCGGGCACTGCCCGTGGGCCCGGGGTCAGTAGGGGGCCCCATGAGATGCCCCTGGTACCTTTTTCATAGGCTTTTTTTGAGTTTGGGCAAGGACACAGGGGCCCCATGATTCCCTATTGCCCAGGGGCCCCATGAGTTGTCAGTCCGCCCCTGTGGGAGGGGGAAAGCAAAACTTTTGGAAGGAGCTTTAACATCACTGTCCACTGATCCTCATTTAGATCGCCTACATCTTGACTTCATATCTGTGTGCATTTAATCAAGGTTTTAGAGCTGACTCACAGAATTATTTATACACATTACTTCCTCTCCCTGGGTTGTTGGGTTAAAAACCTCAGAAGGAGGAAGGAGGAGAGAGAAGAGAAAGAAGAAGAGTGAGAGAGACCACAGGTATGTTAGGCAAATATTCCTATATTTAGTTGTTTATTATTGTTGCTCATAGCTTCTCTGTGTGTGTGTGTGTAGTGGTCACCTTGCTGTATTTTAGTAGAACTTTTTTTTATTGCAATAGAGTTTATATACAGGTCCTGCTATTTTAGTTAATGCTGTCCCTTTTGGTATGGGATTCTTTAGCTAATTTTTGTTTAGAACTCAAACACCAGGTTAGGCATCCAACAGCCACTTATGGTAGCTAAAGATCAGCTTACATGACAGATTAGAAACTACTAAGACACAGAGTAGATAGCTGGCGAGAATCTGCATTCGAGGCTGGTTGGACAACGGTTGGAGGATCTCCCCTTCCCATTGATCTCATCTTCAGATCTCGAACATGAAGACAGATGCCACATTACGATCATCCTCAGGGGCCCCTGCAACAGAACTTTGCTGCAACATTCATCTGCAGGTATCTATATTAATAACTTATACTGTATATGCCTCGGTGCACAATTACACCAGGACTCTTCTTGGGCCCCTTGCTGATAATACCTGTGTACATTGGATGTATGTACTTTTAATTTACTGGTGAAGTTAGTCTTATGTTCCCACTTAGACCACACACAGCTGAGTGCACAACATTTTCTTCACTCTTCTACTTGGTCCGAGGAACAGTCTAAGGGTTTCTTTTTGGGGTTTTATTGGTAATGTTGAAGTTGGATAGAGTGAGGGAGCATGGGATACCCCAATACCTTAAGAACGAAATAACTTGAGAACTCCTTAGTTTTCTCTTTGTACTGTACAAAAAGGAATGTCCCATGGCATCACTATTGTGATCGTGACTAGAAGTCCTTTCAGAGATTAAAAGCTACACACAATCACTGACATCCCAGAGCTAGGCTAATTTCCTCACACAGCCACAGAATCATCGGTTGCCTCCTTTTGATATCTCCCAGGCTCTTCTCGGTGAGGGAGATGTAAACTGACCAAACAATCAGAAACAGACTTCATGAGGGTGGCCTGAGGACCCTACGTCCTCAAGTGGGCCCTGTGCTCACTACCCGGCACCATAAAGCTCAATTGGCATTTTCCATTGAACACCATAATTGGCAGGTCCGCCACTGGCGCCCTGTGCTTTTTACAGATGAGAGCAGGTTCACCCTGAGCACATGTGACAGATGTGAAAGGGTCTGTAGAAGCTGTGGAGAACGTTATGCTGCCTGTAACATCATTCAGCATGAATGTTTTGGTGGTGGATCAGTGATGGTCTGGGGAGGCATATCCATGGAGGGACACACAGACCTCTACAGGCCAGACAACGATACCCTGATGAAATCCTTGGACCCATTGTCAGACCCTACGCTGCTGCAGTGGGTCCTGGGTTCCTCTTGGTGCGCGACAATGACCGGCCTCATGTGGTGAGAGTATGCAGGCAGTTCTTGGAGGATGAAGTAATTGATACCATTGAATGGACCCCACACTCGTCTGACCTAAATCCAATAAAACACCTCTGGGATTTTATATTTCGGTTCATCTGACAATGCCAGGTGGCACCTCAGACTGTCCAGGAGCTCAGCAATGCCCTGGTCCAGATCTGGGAGGAAATAACCCAGGACACTATCAGTCATCTCTTTAGGAGCATGCTCCAATGTTGTCAGGCATGCATACAAGCACGTGGAGGCCATACAAACTACTGAGTACCATTTTGAGTTGCTGCAATTAAATTTCAGCAAAATGGACTGGCCTGCTGCATTATTTTTTCACTTTGATTTTCAGGGTGTCTTTCAATTCAGTCCTCTGTAGGTTTATATTAATTTCCATCAAACGATGGGGCATCCTTGCGTTCCTAACAGATTACCCAGTCCATATCAGTATAGATATCCAGCATGATATTTTTCCCCATTGAGATCTGATGTGTTTTCAAAGTGTTCCTTTAATTTTTTTGAGCATTGTATTCCTAAAGGTGCTATTGACATGAAAGTTTCACCACATGTCGGTAACAACCCATGCAATCCATACATACAAAGAAACCAAAACAACAAAGTTCAGAAATTACGTTATGTGTAATAAAATGGAATGACAAAGGGGAAAAAATATTAAACACGCTAACTGAAATGTATTTAATACTGCATACAAAAGTCCTTGTTAGTAATGACAGCTTCAAGACACCTCCTGTATGGAGAAACTAGTCACATGCATTGCTCAGGTGTGATTTTGGCCCATTCCTCTACACAGTCTTCACATTTTGAAGGTTCTGTGGGCCTCTCCTATGAACTCTGATCTTTAGTTCTGTCCATAGATTTTCTATTGGATTCAAGCCAGATGATTGGCTGGGCCATTCTAACAGCTTTATATTCTTTCTTTGAAACCAGTTGAGATTTTCCTTGGCTTTGTGTTTGGGATCATTGTCTTGTTGAAATGCAGAGCTGCTCCAGATTTTGCACCATGCAGTTTTAGTAAATAATCCCCCTAGAGTTGAAGGCTTCAAAACAGCTGCTTGAAACTGAATGGAAGCTTGGCAAATGAAATTTAAAATCTTGATATAGACACTGCTCTTATACAAGCTGAATCCAATCTGTAGGCACAGGCAGCAACTCCATAAATGCTTTAACTGGTACAGTGCCTTTTATCTAATTCTTAGTTCTACAGCACATATTAAACATTAACATCTACTTGTAAAAACATAACTAAAATATAACTGTGTTATGGTGTCTCCATCTGCTCATTTACACAGTAAACTGATATAACAAGAAAAAGATTGGAGATATTTCCACTTACTCTAGCAGGGAAGCACGATGCAAAAATATTTTCCTCCTTTCAGACATTGATCTCTGGGGTCTAAATCAAAAACAGCAATACAGTGTATTTTAATATAAAATATTTTATGTACATATGAAAATAGTTCTATTTAAAAAAGGTACTCCTGCGCTGCCACCTAACCAAATGAATACAAGTGGGCTATCTACTAATACCTGTTGCTAACATTGTAAATATGTTCCCACATGTAGCATAAACCAAATGGCTCTATAACTATTTAAAAGAAAGTCACCTAACCATGGGATCCTGATGCTTGCAAATATTAATTACACAATAAACATTATAAAACAAAGCAAATGCTACATACAATATATTTCTGCTACTACTACAACCCCAGTACTGTAAAAAGGTGTTGCAGCCTAATGGATAGGTATTAATATACTGTACTATGATGTCACTTCCTAGTACTAGCTAGACCAGGGGTGGGCAAACTTTTTGACTTGAGGGCCGCAATGGGTTCATATATTGGACCCGGGGGCCGGACCAAGAGTAGATGAATGATGTGTGTATGTGTCATCCATAGTAAGTATAGTAATATTCCCCCATAGTAAGCATAGTAATTAATCCCCCATATAGTAATTCATCCCCCATAGTAATTCATCCCCCATATAGTAATTCATCCCCCATAGTGTAATTCATCCCCCATAGTGTAATTCATCCCCCATAGTGTAATTCATCCCCCATATAGTAATGCATCCCCCATATAGTAATTCATCCCCCATATAGTAATTCATCCCCCATAGTAATTCATCCCCCATATAGTAATTCATCCCCCATATAGTAATTCATCCCCTATATAGTAATTCATCCCTCATAGTAATTCATCCCCCCCCATATAGTAATTCATCCCCCCTATAGTAATTCATCCCCCCTATAGTAATTCATTCCCCATATAGTATTTCATCCCCCACAGTACTATTCCCCCCCCAAGTAGTAACCCAAGTCCCCCCTGTGTCAATTCACTTACCTTTGCTCCGCGCGTTCCTCTCGCCGTGTTCCCATGCCGTTCCGGTCTTCAGGGCGGACTGTGAGAGGAGCCTAGCTCCCCTCACGTTCCTCACGCTGCCCCGCCTACACACATTCTGACAGCCGATGTTTGCCACACTCCGCGGGCCGGATTAAAAGGTCCGCCGGGCCATATACGGCCCGCGGGCCGTAGTTTGCCCATTGCTGAGCTAGACTGTCATATGCCTTTAATTGTTCTATGTATTTTGTCTCTGCTCCTCCCTTTCCTTTGGTTTAGTTAATGCTGTATAGATAGCCCACCCCTTTTCCCAGTAATGCATTTCAGCTTCAAGCTTCATGTCATGAAGCAGATCACATTATGATCTTTTGACCTATCGGATGTTCATTGTTGTAAGATTCTCTCACTTTATGGAATAAACTTCACAAGATCTACAAGATGTCATCTGGATTGA